GCTGTGCAGAGAGATTTTGTATGGTGGGATGGGGTGGGGTGTCGTGAAGAAGACAACCCATTTTTTTTTTTTAATTTTTTTCTTAATTTTTTGATTTTTTTTTTCAATTTATTTAATATGGTAATTATCAAGTTACCATTTGCAATTTTTAGAAATTTTGGGAATGTGATTGCAATTAGTTTTTTATTTTTTTCCCTTTCCTTTTTATTTTATTTTATTTGAATGGAGGGTAAAATCGTCAAAAATTGATGAAAATGATGTTCAGCGCCAAGAAAGTGAAAGATAGGAACGCTTTGTGCCAAAAAATGAAATGTAGAGATATTTTTCACAATACACTTGAAAAGTAAGGACGTTTTGTGCCAATTACCCTTTTATAAAATATGTCAGACGATAAAAATATTCTTTTTTAGATCCGCTCAACCACGCAACCCCAAAGCCTAACACTACAATCCACCCACCCAACCATTTGTAAATGGGATAGTCATCACCATTGTTGTTGGTCTTGAAGAAAAATTATTTATTTCTTTTCAGTTCCTTAAATGCTGGTGATGAAGATTGGGAAATTGGGGTCGACGGAGAGGGAGGACACGAGGCTGTTGTGGTGGCTGTCTTTGCTATGCGTTTGCGATTGACAATAAAATATTCATCTCCCCTGATCCATCATACCTCATTCCCTAATCTATAACCCATCTACAAACTTCTTATGTCTTGACTCGTGAGCCTCAAAATATCTACTATCGCCGTCTCATTTTCTCAACCTTCGTCGACCCATTTTCGTTATCCATATCTACAAAATTCTTCCTAATCAAAAAACATTGGGAAGACATAAATAAAAAATAAAAATAAATCTCTTCAAAACCAATTCTTAGTCGAAGTTGATAGTGGCAATGAAGGTTCCTCCACTTGCTAGTTGGTCGGTGATTGGGAAGATGAATATTCTTGTCGATTGACAAATTCTCGGATATAAATTGTTGAAGATCCTTTTAATGCATGTTTACTAAATATTTAGGAACTCCATTTCAATTTTTTTTATAAAGTGTGGAACTTTTGGTGCAAATTATCCTTTTTAGTTAATAAATGGCTATTTATAATTTTAAAAATTGGTCATATTTTGATCAACTAACGAATTTTTGGACGAAAATCGTCTAGAAACCCTTCCGTAACACAAGTTTAAAAGATTTAGAAGCATACTAATAAAAATAAAAATTTAGATAAAACTTGCACGCAAATTTAAAAGATTGAAACCAATGCTTCGATTATCCCTTTTTATTAATTTGTGCACAGATCATACGACTGTTATTCATTATAGCATAACAATGTGCTAAATAATCGTCTTATTACAATTGGAAAACTCTATTATCATAGGTGTACGGGTATTATAATATTGGGCTTATTGGCCCAGCATAAGTATCTTATATAGTGTTTGTGTAGAGGTGATATATTGAAAATCGCTTTTTTCAGCATTCATTTTCAATCACTTGCTTCCTCTAAAATAAAAAATAATTTTCTCATTTTTTTCATAATTTTTCTTACTTTCTGATAACCAATTTTCTGAAAAAAATCGATTTTCAAATAATCTCTCCCACACGAACAAATAGTATGTATTAAAACATCTTCGATATGCTCTTTTGAACTTGCATCAGTATCTCAATTTCAACTCAAGCGTTGATTAACACTCCATGTTCTGAGAAATATTTACCATTCGAAAAGAGAAAAAAGGAAGTCTTTGTGAGGTGCTCTTTATTTTAACTTCCCAAAATAGAGAGCAAGTTTAACTTTCTATATTTGGAATGCCAAACTTACTTTCTATTTGATGTTAAGACCGAATTTAATAAAAATAAAGTGTATAAAAAATTATATTTTAAATTAAAATTGCTGTTCATTATGATTAAAATATCTTTTTAGCGTATCTGAACAGTTTCCTTGAACCAGAAGGGTGACTGGTTCACTGGTTCAGGTTACAAGACTTCCCATATAGTAACTTAGCAAATGGCATCTTAAATCGTAAAACATCCTTAACCAATATCGATTACAATAAATTGTTTTTGAAATCAAACAAGAAGCTGCAGACACTTGTTTGAACCTTCGACTCCAACGTTATGCGCAAATATTAAATATCGATTTAATTTTTATATTATTTTTGGCAACAAAAAGCTTATTAACCAAATAAAGTTGATTTGACAACTCTATATTTGACTCTCCAAAACATAGAGAGAAATAGTATAAAAGTACCATTCTCAGCCTACCTGATATGGTGTTTCATGGCCCTCCCATTTGTATTAATTGCAATGGGGACTTGAGCAACTTCTTCAATGTCTCCATTATATTAGAAAAAGTCGGGCGTCTTGAAGGATCACTGAAGGCAAAAGAAGAAATCATCAGACAAATTCTCGAGTAATAATTATTCCAGGAAAATAAATACATGCGTGTTTACCATCTTAATAATGCTCGAAACAAAGTTCAAGTGAAATATCATAGGAATTCAAGCACGTAATGATGAATTTTCCAGCCACCAAAAAAACATAGAATTAATTAGATGGATTCTAACTTTTGATTCCAGTAGCTGCCTTTTTTTTCCTTTTTTAATTTCCCTTTTATTTTATAAAGTTAACTAAGACCTAATACCTTAAAGAATTTACTTGAGTTTTTGGTCGAAGGATTTGGATGGAAAGAAAAATAAAGACTCCAAATGGTAACAAAAATCTCACTCGGCCCAGCAAGACTCCATCAGGGATGTCAGTATTGGAGACGTGTTCGGAGGGACTGCAAGCCTTCTATTCTGAAAGGCAACTGCTCCAACCACCTGAAAGATCGAAAAAAAAATCATGTTATTATCTTTGAAATATATATTTTTCAAGCCGTCAAGAAATATCATCAAGCTAGATAATAATACAATCATGGTATGTGTACATCTTGTTTTACATCTTTTTTGACATTGTCTCATGTGTCCACATATATGATTGGACAATTTTTAGAAAAAACAAAAAAGCACACTTCTTCACCCAACACTTTTGAAATTCCTACACAATATTTAAAAGGTTTACGCTTATCAAGATAGCATAATTCATAATAATATATACGCAGCGAAACAATGTATCAGAATGATATTGGAATGAACCTGTGCCGGGCTAAGTCCACTCCAAGGCTGTTGCATGGTCACAAGCTCCCATAAAATCACCCCAAAACTGTATACATCAGACTTCTCATTAGATGGCTCTCCACGAAGAAATTCAGGGGCCATCCATTCGGGCTGAAATGAAAAGGAACAGAGTTACCGCTGATTGATGCACTGCAAAAATAATATGCTCAAGATGAGATTTGTATCATTTGATTGAAATAGTTAACTTTCCATGACACGTGTTGGATTTTTGACCCAAATTAGATTGGATTTTTTTTTGAAAAAATATTGTTTCATTTAGTACACGTGCTTTTATTAAAAGGCTGCGGTTGGTTTAGCGTTTTTGAGCAATTTTTCGTTTTCCATTTTTTAAAACGCAGAAAACGCGTTTGATTCGTCGTTTTCGAAAATGCATTTTCGAAAATGAGTTAAAATTTATATCTGAAAACGCAAAACGATTTTTTATCATTTTGAGCGTTTTCAGTTATAAATTCCCAAAACATGGAAAACGCTCAAAACGCGCCATTTTCAGGGAAAACTAAAAATCGTTTTGAAATCGAAAATGGAAAACTAAAGCAACCGCACCCTTATTTTCTTTGTTCCACGCATTCTTATTTTAAAAAAAAAATATTGTTTCCTTTATTACATATTATTTTTTATCTTATTTCCATTTTTGTGGTATTTTTAGGGTTTGACATGCATTCCTATAAATATTAAACTCTTCTCACAAGTTTTGTATTACTGAAATATAAAATAATTATGTAGGCACTATTACTGTATTTGTTTTCTTCATATTGGTCAATTGAATAAAATATTTTGTTCCTCTATCGATTAAATTCTTTGTCTTTTATCTTATTGTTTGTTTGCAACCATATACTTCATATCGTGCAATATATATTACATCGATCCGTTTTATTTCCCAACAAGTGGTATCAGAGCTATTGTTTGTGATTTGTTCGAGGTTTTTATTATTGATGGTAGTCATGAAATAAAAAATTTCGCTCTTTGATAGAATATATGATTCTCGTTATGGCAAGTGAAGATGCAAGTTATACTCGCGCAGATGGATTTGGATAATGTATTGTTGGGATTTAACAAAATGCCCACAACTTGGACGACGGAGGAGAAACAATGGAAGAATTGGAAAGTACTTTCACAGATTCATCTTTATCTCCCTAGCAATATTCTTCAGAACGTTTTGAAGAAGAAAACGACGACTGCATTATAATTGAAGTTTGAGCAATTACGCATGACTAAAAATCTGACAAACAAATTACATTTAAATCAGACGTTGTATACTCATCTCATTGCAGAAGGCGGATCTTTGGAATATCATTTTGTCGTGTTCAAGGAAATCGTCGTTGAGTTGGAGACTTTAAAGGTAAGGTAAGATGAAGAAGAATTGACTTTAATACTTTTGTGTTCACTGTCCGCTTCGTTTACTTCGTTTAGAAACACGATCTTATATAGTTGTGATACTTTCAACATTGAAGATGCCTATGATACCTTGTTTTCGAAAGATAATATGAGGCATCTAATTGGATATGTGGTCAGAGATGGCGAATGCCTTGTTGTTCATAGTGATCGGAGAATGTGTAAATCAAAGTCAAATTTTAGTAATCATGTTTGTTAGTATTATAAGAAGAAAGGGCTCGTTAAGAGGGATTACAAAAAATTATAGAACAAAAGTAATTTGACTGCAAATCATAAGAAGCAATTAAATCCTTTAGATGAGGCCAACATATTTGAGTGATAGAGATGTTTCTACGATTTCTAATATGGAATATAAACCTTACGAGAAGAGAATTTTGGATACAGCTTATGCGTTCCATATGTTTCCCAATTGGGATTTGTTTGAAACATATGAAATGGTGATGTAAAGTGTCGTCATGGGTAACCACGAATCTTGTCAAGTAGCTGGTATTGGTAGAGCCAGGTTGAAGTTGGTGGATGGAATATGTAAAACACTTGATCACGTTCGACATATTCCAAATTTGAAGAAGAATCTCATTTCGTTAAGTACTCTTGATTTAAAAGGGTACACGTTCTCTAGAGAAGGTAGAGTTTTGAGGGTTTGGAAGGGTGTTATTGTTGAATTGGAGGGATGCAATATGTCCCATTTATACATCTTGAAAGGTAGGATAGAATTTTTACATCTTGAAAGGTAGGACAGAATTTGTGATAGAAGGCATGTACGGATTTAGTACCGTAGTGGAGATTCAATTTAGAACTTCACCTTTGGAATTTGGTTCGAGGTCCATATTGAAGAATACTACTTGATCGAGTTTGGAGGATATTGGTAATTTCGCTTTGCTACTATTATTTGTGGTTTCATAATATTCAACTATTAGGAATAGACCTATTGGAGATGAGTACGTGGATACTGATTCGGTTGTACGTGTTTTTAGCATTTTTGAAGGTATTGAGACAAGTCGGGACCTTTTATAAAAGTATTAGGAGTTGATTCTGCTACAGTGTGTGCTCCGATACTGTTTGATAATTTCTAATTCTTTGTGAATCTTGGAAAACTCGATATTTGGATTCATGCATCTGTATTGGATATAGTGGAAGAGGATGAGTATTTTTGTGTTGAAAAAAGTTTGATTCTTGTTGAAGAGTTCGAATTTTCGTTATACTCGGATATATTTTTTCATAGAAGGAGAATTGGCTATGAGTCCTATGAGTTTTATTTTGGAACCATTAAGTGCCGACAGAACTCGCATGAAGGGAAGGCAACACGACTTTAGGACAGCATTTTCGACGTGACTCCCAAGGTTTGCTTTTCTAACTCTCTTCTTATTTTTATATTATTGTTGAATTATGTTTATGTCATTTAATTGATTATACTAATTGATAAATATCTACACACAAATCACCCATTTTTCCCAATTATAAATATGCGATAAAAAGTGAAGCTTTATCTACTAAAATATTGATCTCAGGGTCATGCATCATCCAGAAAATTCTTGAGACAGATAACTCAAAATTTTGAGACATTTATTCGCTATTTTCTGTCTTGAATGACTAATAACTTTTGCCCATCAAACTAAATTCTATGCATGTGTTTTCTTTTTAATTATCTTTCTTTGCTTTAAAGGCCTAGGAGGGAAAATGATGTCTATGAGTTCTCAAATGTATGGAATGGGAAAAAAAATATATGGTTTTCACTTCTTATTCTTTGTGCCAAGTAATCTAAGAAAACATACATTTTATGTGCACACACGTGTGGAAGAATAATTTAAAGAGAATTCTAACCGTTCCAGCAATAGACTTCGATGAAATGAACTTGTTTGCTTTGAACCTTGACAAACCAAAATCACAGACCTGAGCCATGAATGGAATGAAGTTAATTCAGACGAAGACTTAAAAGGTGTTCATCTGTAGAGAAATCAGTGAGAATTTTACCTTTACATTCCAATTTTTATCAACCAACAGATTTGGTGATTTGAGGTCCCAGTGAACAATGGGTGGGGTAAGAAGATGAAGATAATTGATAGCCTTAGCCTGAATGCATCATATATTAGGAAATTTATAAACAAAACAAAAACAATTAGGGGGAATCGATACAGTCAGAAGGGATAGATGAGAATTGAACCGGACCACATCCAGAGCCATGCGTAACCGCCGCCTTGGATCTAAGATTTCCCCAGCAGCTGGTTTGTGTATCAGTCTGTATAGACTACCTCTGTTCCACATAATTTCAGATACGAAGATTAACTTACACATTGTGTCACTTCATATTACATGGTTCAATTTGTTTTATAGAATCTATGAAACCTGTTTACCTTGGCAGATACTCTGTTACAATAGATAGATGCGGACGTTTTGTAACAGCGCCCATGAAGAGAACTATATTCGGATGTCGAATGCGTTTCATAATAGCAACCTTCAAAATGCGAAATAGATATTAACATTCGACAGCAAATGTAGAGAATCAATGAATATATTAGCAACCAAGTAGTCAAGGCGCGAAGATATCTTGCTTTAACCCTACCCCACAACCCCAAAAGAAAAAACAAAAAAAGAATAGCCGCTAAAAAGTGCTAATACAGAGTTTGTACATCTCTCACTTATTAAAAGTGCATAATCTAAAATATTTCATTGCAATCAAACTTTGAGGGAATAAACTGAAGGAATATAACAGAAAAGGTCAGTCAAAATATGAAAATGCCAACATCTGTAAAGCTAAGGCCCATGTCATCAAAGAGAAGGAAGAAAGAAGTATACTTCAGGAAATTCCATCATTCAGATCCACTATTCATACCTCCCTAAAGAACTCTTTAAACTGATCATCATGAAAATCCTGGATTGTAAGAACCTTAACTGCAACATCCTGCAACAAAAGCAATATTTAATTCCATTACACATGTTGAACGCCTGAACACTCAGAAATAACACCAGACCAAATAATGCAAAACCATTTAGTGCATCTAAATAATAGAAGCGCGTCATGAAGGAATTAAAAGTCTATCAAGAGGAGCACGTCAGGTAACTTAACACAAGCAAATAAATTCATCTCGCAATATTCATTCACCAGACTTGATGAAACACATGCCAAAGATACAAAACCTCAAATATATCAATAACCTAACAAAAAGAACCCATACATATTGTGCATTTTCCCCTTAACTTTTTCTTTATTTTTTAGGTACAAGAACAGCAGAACTATACATCACAGTAGAAATTAAAACTTCAACATTTAGCACTGAAGGTCCATTACAGAAACGAGGCTTCATAAGTTGAAGGACTTGAGAATGGAACAAAAAACAGGAAGACTCAACCATCTTCCAAAAAGGGAATTGCATCTCTCAGTAGATCCTTTGTTTGTCGGGGGTGGGGGGTGTCTGTGTAAGTATTATACTCTAGGTCCAATCAATTTTGGACATAAATACTTTTGATATATAATTAATGCAATTTAATGGAAGATCTATTTTTTAATTAATAGACAATTAAATAAATAATAGAGTCCGTAGATTCAAATATTTATAATTTGTTAATCACAAGGAGTTGTGATTGTGAGATACAAATTACATCTGATTGAATCTTAAATCATCCGTGGTCGTAAGTAATAACGAGATACGGATATCGTTATTACAGATAGACCATCACGTATGACATTTCTTACTTGTGAAGTAAGTAGCTGATCTTACAAGTTAAAGTGTGGTGACACTTAAATGAATACGTGGATGTTTTGTTATAGAACAAAACATTGGAAACCCATCGAGAGATTCCACATGGATAACTATGTGAGTGTCAGTGGTTAATTTCTAACATTCGGTAGTGGAATTTGTCCTTTGACTTGAGGTCGTCATGGTACCTTAGATGAGGACAGTCATACTTTGGTGGTGTTGGATGTTACTCTGAAAAGGGCCGCTAATACGACATCGTTCGGGTACGTCAAGAATCGTATGAAGGTTGTGATTGATCAATAAAGGATTCATTACTCTTAGATAGTAGGAGATTATGATCTGCGTTTCATTCAATTAAGTTGATGATGAAATCTTTGGCCAAGGTCTACTCATAAGTCAAAAATGAGTTTTCGACTTATATTGACTTAATAGTGGAGTGAAAGATATGATCGATGATCGAGATTGACACACCTCCATATCTCGTAATTGATCGGATCATATTGACGAAAGAATTATAGTTTCACAATAAACAAATGAGTTTGGTTTTGTCACACCACATGACATTTCTCGTCACATGTATTGCCCTGAAATATTGCTAGATGTCAATCAAGGACGGCGAGTGTAAATTGATGATAAATTAAAAGGGTGTTTTAATTTATCAATTTTGATTAGATCAAAATAATATTTCACGTCGTTAGACATCGTGGTCGAGAACCTAATGGGTCGCACACAAAAGAGAATTGGAAGATTGCAAATTGTCAATTAATTAATTTAATAATCGTTGGATAAATTAATTAATTGGATTGGTTATTTATATCCCGAATTAATTAATTCACGAACCAGGTTTAATTAAATGGATTAATTAAATATTGGACCGGACCGAGCCCGTTTGGGTTTATATAAAAACATGGTTAGGGTTTAAAATCCATATGGTTTTCATTATTCTTGCTGACACAAGAGAGAAAATCCTGATAGCTGCAATCTTATTTTCTGTGTGGATCACCGTTGGAGGCTGGAGAATTGGATAGCTGTGGGTGGCGAATCAAGATTGTTGGAACGAAAAGAAAAGCAAAAGGTTTGCAGAATTCATCAAAGGTACAATCTTTATCACAATTTCTATCTAAATACAAAGGGATCCTCTATGGGAATTGAAATAATTTTAATTTTCCGCTGTGCATGTATAAGTAAATTCCTAACAGTCTGGAAATCCAACATTAGAAAATAAAATGTAAAGGCATGTGACACTTACGGATCCATGCCATTCACCTCGATGCACTGTCCCAAATGAACCTGTAAGAGGGAAGAACAAAAGTTTTAACAACCCAGCTTCGAAAAGTAGAAGCATCTAAATAATACAAGAGTACTTTATATATAAATAGAAGAATAATTACCAGCACCAACACGCTCGTTAATGCGCAATTCATCCCATGAGATCTCAAGCCAATCCATTGCAAGAGAAGGCTCGAGATTCAAGTATCTTGGAATGACTGTAGCTGCATGATGATCCGTAAGTCCATTCTTAACCTTCATAAGATCTTGTTCCTCATAGCAGGTAACTCTAGGAGGTTGTCTGTCTGTGTGAGAGACAATTGCATTTGAAGTTACAACATTGTCATTATTATGTTTGACAATAATTTTGTCACCATTTGGTCTAGAACAACCATGTCCAGATATCCCTGTGGAAGCAACACCAAGAACATCTTGTCTGCACAAATTGTCTTTTAAATTTCCAGGCAAGTAAATATCCTTCACTTGATAGATTTCTTTTCCCCTTCCTAAAAACAGAAGCTTAAAGTAAGTTTATTACCAGAAAAGATAACTCATTTTAAGACCCCCCCCCCCCCCCCCCCCCCCCCCCCTCCCTTCTTTTTTCTTCCTTCTTTTCCCCTTC